CTTTTTTTTTTTTTTTTTTTTTTTTTTTTTTGGTATCTGTTCCTTGTGCTTGCAAGACAGGCAGTGGAACCACTGAGCTAAATCCCCCACCCAGATTTTCCTTTTTAAATGTAAGTTTTATAATGAAATAAAAAGTTGAAAAGCTTTTCCCATAACAAAATATAAATTTGGAGATAAGAAAGCACTGTATTGGTCTAATTGCTAAAATTTTGGGTAGACTATAATAAAATGGGAGGTCATAAAGTCAATGACATCTTAGATTCAATTAATAATATTAATTTATTGACGTTCGAGATCCACTAACTTGGGAAGCCCTATCGATGCAAAGCATATTAAATTTTTCATCCGCGCACAAGCTCACCTCCCCAGCTTCACTTCTTGCATTTATCTGTCTCCCTCCCCCTCTTTGCTCAAGTTTGGGGTGGTGGTTTCTGTTACTCTCCCTAAGGGGAATGTTTACAAGTACCCTGGGACTCCAGGGGTCCCATCTATCCACACGGATCCCTTGTTTTTGCATCCCCATTGGTTACTTCAATTACATCACTTCCTTTCCCAATCCACTCCCTCAACTGCCTAATCAAACTACAGAAGTGAAATATGTACAACAATGTGAACAGTTTCAGTTCTTTGCTCTGAAGCAAACAAAATGTTTGCATTTCTTATTCAAAGAATAACAACAAATGGTGCATAATTATCATACAAATGGATCAGCGGAAGGTGTGACAGAATGGAAAGCCAACATCAGGTCCAGGAGAATGTGAAGTTACCAGCCAAGGACTATTTATAAAACAGTGAGCACACATAACTGCTAAACTATACAATATGGCTTCTATGTTGGATTCTGATGTCTCCTGAACCTTCTCCTTATCCTCTTTGTGGGCTATATTCATAGTGATCCTGCTGACCTTATAATTTGGCCCATGCATTCTTAACTGTTTCTCTGGCTTTGTCTCCTCCAGATTGGAAAGCTATGCAGCTACCAAGATGACAATGCCAGGAACTTACCAAAGGCCTTTACGTAGACCCTCTGTAGAGTAACTCTAACTGCTGATCACAACTATGACCCTCTTCAGCTGGAAGCAGCCAGAGCTGTCTTTGCCCTTTGCCCTCTCACAGCAGTTAGGGGTACTTCTTCAGAGGGGGGAATACTGCAGCTAGGTAAGTTAATTAGATATATTGTAGGCAGTTAGAGAGGACTACCCTCAAGGTGCCAACAGAGCAAGGAGCCAACCTGGAGGACAACCAAGACACATACACTGAAGGCCAGAATGGTAAAAGGAGAGAAACTACTATACCTTTGTGCTTCCCCTGGGGATAAATAGCAGGAATTGATATTCTTAATAGGTTTCAATCACCTGGGTGTGGGGCCAAGGTCTTAACTCAGCCTTTCCAGGAAATATCCCTGACCCCTTACCCTTACTGAAAATCCTTGTACACTTGCTACCCCATTTGACCCCCATTTATTCAATATTACCTGGGTGACTGTACTTGTAATCTTATTGGTTGGTCATTGTTTTGTCCCACCTTATAATTTTCCATTGGGTCTTATAGTTTTGCCCCACTTTGTACCCGCCTCACCACATGGCTTTGCTGTATAAAACTTCTTTGAAAGGTGAGGTGAGCAGGCAGCCCACTTTCCAGTCCCACTTCTGTCTTTCTTATACAGAAGCTTTCTTTCCCTCAAAAAATTTTTCCTACTCTTAAAAAGAAATAAAATAAATAAATCAGTGAGCACAAAAGCCTTCATTTAATTTCACAAAATACCAACTGGGCATTTTAAATTCCATTTTAAAGTAACTTTTCTAAACTTACGTAGTAAAAAATAACGGAAAGAATTTCAAATCAAGTATGACCCTAAAACCCATGCTAGTTGGAAAATGCCAATGTATAACACAGTATTCAATTATAATCATAGCACACACACCAGTGCCCTCCTAAATTACCTGGCTAGGTGACCTGTCTGCAGAGGAGGGTGGTATGAGTGATTTCTCCAAAATTTCAGGCAAAGAGTGATACATGTCCTTCTCGTCCAGTTTCCAATAAGTCAGTCCTAATGTGCACACATATGCAGAGTAGCAAGAAGTGAGGAAAAAAAGACAAAATGCATTCTATAATAACTTATCTCCACCCAAAGAAAACTAAAAATAGGAAGGAACTGGCTTTCAGCTGTGGTTACGGCAAGTTGAATTTTTATGGGAAAAAGAGTCCCATAAATGCCTTATCATGTAAGAAACCTCATTTAATAATGTAAATATATATAACCGAAATATCACTAAAAACCCAAAATGATGTAGTTCAACTTAGAATGTACTTTATTATTTTTATTTTGTTAGTTCATGTTTGCAGCACATCATGGTTATATTCATTGTGGGGAGTTGTACGTGTACGTGCTACATCCAAACTTAGAATATACGTAAGTCTAATAGTGTATACTTACATAGAATCCCTTAATGATTAGCTGGGCATGGTGATGCGTCCTAGCACACTGAGGATGAGGCAGGAGGACTGCAAGTTTGAGCCAATCATGGGCAAGTTATAAAAATGAAAAGAAGGGCTGGGAATGTAGCTCAATGCAAAGGCCCTGATTCGTCAGTACCATAAAGAAAAAAAAATCAGTAATTCAAATATTTATTAAGCATCTACTATGTCAGGCTGGGCAGCAGGAGTAAGAAGAGTAAGTAAATCGTGCAGAACACACAGTAGGTTTTATCATGGGGCAGCACTGGGGTGGTCAGGGTTGCTCACAGGGCTGTGCAGAGGTGAGTAAGAGGGACTTGGTGCTGGGCATGGTGGCGCACGCCTGTAATCCCAGCACTTGGGAGGCTAAAGCAGGAGGATCACTGTGAGCTCGAGACCAGCCTGGGCTACACAGTGAGTTTCAGGTCAATCTCAACTACGTAGTGAGACCCTGTCTCAAAAAACCGAAAAAAAAAAAAGAAGAGGGACTTAGTCATTTGAGCCCACATGAAGGAATTTCTCAGTGGAGGTAATTTCAGCCACTGCAGAAGCCTAGCTGGAGGACAAATATGGTGGATGTGAGCAGCCTTCCTGCTGATGGAGAGAAAGAAAGGGAGTAGCAGAACACATGGAGAAGAGGCATTATCCTGCTGGGCCTCTGAAGGTGCTGGCTGTTACTCCAAGAAGAAGCGGACTACTGCAGGGTTTCAAGCTGGAGTCTCTCGAGCTGCCCTAGCTTTTCAAAGGGTCTCTTTAGCCACCACACTGTGAATCCACTGAAAGGCACAAAGAGGAAGCAGCGAGGCTGGTGAGGAACCTGCAGCAACCAAGGGAAAGCTGAGGTGCCTCAGCAGGGTGGCAGCAGTGCAGTGGGGAGTAGCTGGATTCTGAAAATGTTTGCAAGGCAAAGTGAATTCACTCAAATGAATCGGATATGAATGCTGAGAGAGGAGGAAATAAGAAGTCAGTATACAAATTCAGTGAGACTGGAAGAGCTCACGTTGAGAGCAGAGAGCTGCTCACAGAAGGTTTGAATTTGTCAACTCATTTTGGAGCAACTGAAAAAGTTGCTGCAACTGCACCTCTGCCCTCTATCTTTTTTTTTTTTTCTTTCTTTTTTTCTGCCCTCTACCTTTACAGAACTGGTGATTCCAATTAAGGCAAAAAAGAAAGGTTTCTGGAGGAACACAACACATGGGATGTTTGCAGAAACCACACTGGTGTATGATTTCAAATTTAGAAAAAAATTTAAATAAAAATCTCTTTAAAAGTTTAAGCTGGGCCAAGGCAGGAGGATCACCGTGAGTTTGAGGCCAACCTGAGCTATATAAGGAGACCCCTTATCAACAGACAACATCAATAATAAAAACTTAAGTTGCATACCTGTTCCTGAATTAGACATCCAAGAATGTGGACTTTCATCTGGTTTACTGAGGTAAAAAGCACGAGGATGTGCAGCAGCAGCAAAATCAGACTGCAATTCAAGAAAGAAAACAGTTGGTGGACAACTGAAAATCACAAGGCGCACACTGCCACCACAAGACTGAGAGTCAGCTGTCGCCCCAGGCAAGGGAATGCTGTGGAGAGGCCGCGCAGAACACCTGGCTTCCTCAAGGTGCAAGAGCACAGAGTGACAGGGTTAACAGGAGAGGCTTTCCTTTGCTTTTTCAGGACTAGAGAAGGAAGCAGGGCCTCAAACATGCTGGGCAAAAGCTCTACAATGGACCTACATGCCCAGTCTCACTAAATTGCCCCGTCTGGCCTCAAATTCTGACCCTCCTAACCTCAGCCTCATGAGTAGCAGGGATTATGGATGTGTGCCACTGGCCACTGTACCCAGCTCAAACTTCCTTTCCATGTGCAACTGACAGAAGTTTATTTTGGGGCTGGGGATTTAGCTTAGTGGTTCCACTGCCTGCCTTGCAAATGAAAGGACCCGAGTTCGATCTCAGGTACGAAAAAGAAAAAATGTTTATTTTGGTTCTCTGTGGAACTAGAAAGAGAAAACTGAGGGCAGGAATTACCTAATGAGTTCAAAACTAAAATGTATTTATAATCTGTCATCTACTTCCAAAACACGTTTGAGGTGCCTGGAATTGAAATCACTTAGGCCAGGGCCGGGGATTTAGCTCAGTGGTTCTGCCGCCTGCCTGGCAAGCACAAAGACCCAAGTTCGATCCTCAGTACCAAAAAATAAAATTAAAATTAAAAATAAATTAAAATCACTTAGGCCAGGCATGGTAACACCCATCTTTAAAGTCCTGGCAGTCAGGGAGGCCAAGGCAGAAGGACTGCAAATTTTGAGCTCAGTCTGGGCAACTTAGCAAGATTCTGTCTCAAAACTTTATTTTTAAATTTTTATTTATTTATCTATTTTTTGGTACTGGGGATAGAATTCGGGACCTCATGCTTGCAAGTCAGGTGGCAGCAACACTGAGCTACATCCCCAGCCCGTCTCAAAACTTTAAAAAAATTTAAAAGGGCTGGGGATATAGCTCAGTTTGAAGTTCCTGGGTTCCCCAGTATCACAAAAAGAGTCATTTGGTATAAAAATTAATGTTTCAAAGCTTTAATGATTCATTTTTATTACAAATACAATAAATCTGAAAACCACAAATCAGTATGATTTTCTTTTGGTACCAGGTATTAAACAATAATATGAATCTTAAATAGATTATGTCTTATACACACACAACTGGCTGCTTTTAGTCCCAGAAAAGACTAAAAATGCCTATTAATATTGATTTTGAAAAAATTCTGAATCTCTCTTCAAAGAATCTAATGCTATCAAAAGAAATGTTTTCAAACAGATATGTGACGTAGATATTTCCATCAAAACTTTTCTTATCAGGGCCAGTGATTTAGCTCAGTGTCACCGTGCCTGCCTTGCAAGAGCAAGGTCCTAAGTTCGATTCCCAGTACTGCAAACACCACCCCCTTTCTTCCCTTTGTACTGGAGATCAACTTGGGTCCTTGCACTTAGGAGGCAGGCAGCACAAAAACCTTTTCTTATCAGGGCCTCTATCACTGAGCTTTTTATTCCTTCCAGGCATAAGGTACATATCCATAATCCTAGCTACTTGGGAGACTGAGGCAGGAGGATCTCATGTTCCGGACTAGGCAATTTAACAAGACGCTGGGGGTATGGGACATCTGGGACTATAGCTCAGGGCCAGAGCCTTTGCCCAGCTTGGCATTAAAACAAACAAACAAACAAGTTTCACCCTGTTAAATGTTTCTAAATTTGTTTACAATAATCCATGCAGCCATTGCAAAAGGAGGAGTAACTGAGGTGGCAACATTGTGGGGGGGGGTACCACAATCCTGTCAGCCTCACAGGACACGCTCAGCCTCTTTACCGAGAGAAATTCCTTGGTTTCTTTTGAAATTCCTACCTGCTCAAATGTGTGTCCACACTTAAAAGACTGGGAAAGGCAACTGGACAAGACTGAAGCAAATAGTCCAAGTGAAACAGGCTGGCCTCGCTGGCGCAGCTCTGCAGGACGACATCAGCAGCCTCGCCTACCCGCAGGACTGCAGGTGCCTCAGGCAGACGACGCATAGGAAAATGAGAGCAGGGTGCAAGGAGAAGCCCCTCTCAAGCAGAGACCCCAGCCCAGGGATCTGCTCCCCAGCTCCGCCACACCAGCAGCCCACCAAGGAAACCCCAAGAAGCGCTTCAGTGCAGGAAATGGAGAAGTCACTCTGTTCAGACAAACAACCATGGCAACAAAGAACAACCTGAGCTCTGAAAAACCCTCTGCCACACAACACACTATTTCAAGGTGGACTTCCAAGTAACTGTTACTCAAAATAAACAGCACTGTGCAAGGAGAAAAAAATCTGACCAAAAGAAAATGTTGATCAGCATTCCCTGCTTCAGAGTGAAACCAAAAACAATGGGAAGATAGGATCAAGTAAAGAGGAAAGTTCCAGGGGGCCAGGGACTTAGCTCAGTGGTGCTGCCACCTGCCATGCAAGCGCAAGGACCCAAGTTTGATCCCTGGTACTAAAAAAAGAGGAAAGTTTCAGCTTCAGGGAATCCAGACAGCTATGGATAAGGATGCATTATCTCAGGTGTGATTCGCCAGCCAGCACCACCCACCTCATTTTCACTGAAAACTCAGAAATATCAAAGAAACTTGTTAAAAGAATTAAGATGTGTTATGAATATGTACTCCCTCTGCATGATGATTTAATCATGTACTGCAAATATGTACTAATAAAATTTTTTTTAAAAAGATGCATAGTTAGCATGTAAATTTAAAAAAGAAAAAAAATATCAAAGAAACTTAGGGCCAGGGATTTAGCTCAGTGGTGCCACCGCCAACCCCGCAAGTGCAAGGACCCGCATTTGATTCCTGGTACCAAAAAAAAGAAAAGAAACTTGAAGCTGGCCCTGGTGGCACATGTCTGTGATCCCAGCACTCAAGAGAGGCTGAGGCAGAGAATTACCCTGGGTTCAAGGCCACCCTGGGCCACAATGAATTCGAGGACAATCTGAGCTACATAGCAAGACCTCTCAAAAAACAACACAAAAGAAACTTGACTTCCCTGAATGACTTCATACCAAATGTATCATTCACCTAAAAAAATATTTAAAAAATAAAGGAAATAAACTTGTCCAGCAGATGACCACGGAATAGGAAAGGCTCCAAGGTAAGCACAACTTTCTCCCACATGGGCCGGGCCCGGCTGGTCACGAGGTGGAAGATGCTGAAGACGCTGAAGATGCTGGGGAAAGCTTTTGTTTCTCAGCTGCACAGCAGAGGGTGCCCGCTCCTCAGATTCTCCACCTAACGGTAGCTGTTCACCACTCAAGATGCGGGGGCAGACCCCAGCAAGGAGTGAGAACACCTGACACGGGCCCTGGGCAAGCGTGGGGACCAGGGGCCACATCCAACAGGGAATGAGTCACAGTCACCTGCCTAGATCAGGTTCGATCCCCAGCACGGAAACAAATAATTTTTCATCCTGTTAAAAGAGACAAGAAAACCACTGATTCCCACCAAGTGCATAATCACAAAGCCAAAGTGGAAAAGTCTTAGAGATGGGTGCAGCTCAGTGGGAGAGCCCATGCTCAGCATGGGTAGATTCAATGCCCAGCACACACACACACACACACACACACACACACACACACACACACACACGATCTTGGTCTCAACCTTAAAAATAGAAGAAATCGCTACGTCAGAGAACATTCTCCATCCCACCCTTGATGGCACACAAGTTCTGAAGAACAGCACCACAGGGCTTTTCTGGAACAGAAATACCAACAGCACACAGGGCCTTTCTAAGGCGGAACCACTCGGAGCACTAATGGGCTTTTCTAAGTTGAAACACTTCAGGGTCAAGCAGCTTCATTTGCTTTCACTCCTTTCCTCAAAACAAATCAGGAGAGGAAGAGAAAGGGTTATTGAGAGAAAGCTCCCGAGAGACAGGAGGGGTTCCGAAAGTGGGTTGCTACTGAGGTTCTTTGTCCAAGGATATACAGCAAAATCACAACTTAGGTAGCTATGGGTCAAATTAAAACCAAGCCATAGGATCACATGTATAGTCACTTAGCTAAGGTTGGCCCAACAGGGAACTGGAGCATGTAGCAAGGTATATGACAAGCATCACTAACTTTAGTTTATCTACAACTTCAACACAGAAAGAATAAAAGCATTCCAGAAAGGGCTGAGAGTACTGGTTCGGGCGTCCTGGTCCCCCACCTATGTGTCTCATGCTCTATCCGGGCCCATTGGACCAGGCGGTGCAAACTACAGTATAATCTCAAGCTGCTATTTATCTCCCTGGAGGCTGAAGGACGGGCCTTCGAGCCTCCATCCTGTGGCATGACTCACAATTTTGATGTGTCTCATCTTCGGCACTGATTTCCTCCAGGCCCCAGTTCCTATCTGGCTGCCTGTTAACTCCTCTCTAACTCTGCTGTGCTAACAGGATGATGGAAAGACTATGCTGAGGATGATGAAGTCATCTGAAGTCAGACAGTTTCTAAAGGTATCAGGTTGGCAGAGAGATCCGATTCTGCCTTCTCAATGTATTACTCCTAGCAAGGCTGAGACGGGACAAAAGGGCCCAGAGCTCCATGGTGCATTTTTGTTACCTTCAGCAGCTGTCCGAAATGCATGGCAGCCGGTCACAGCGGAATCAGATGCCCCATGGAAGCTTCAGGAGGCCTTTGCGCTGGCTGCAGAGAGCTTCACGGGGCCCAGCCCAGATGACTCTGCCCCTCTGCAGTGCTCCCCAGTCAGGTCTGAGAGGAGCCTTTCCCCTCCCCAGAAATAAACAGAAAGTCTCACACTGCCCACGCGTGAACCCTTGTCTTTTCCTACCTAAGCAACCATGCACACCGTCAGCAGTTCAGTCACACGCGGCTCCCCACTGCTACACAAGTCCTGAAACAGCCCCTTCTTACTTGTTCCTGATTTCTGAGCTGGTGCACTGGCCAGCAGCCACGACTGGGTACACTGAAGGCAGTTCACAGACAACAGGAGAAGAACGAAAAGATCTACACTTTGCATATTGGTAATTTCAAACCACAATGAGCAAAAGAACTGTAAGGGATTGGGTAAGTGTTATTTTACGACAACTTGGGCCAAGGAAGGCTATCCCAATGTATTGAAACTTAAATGTCTAGAACCCTTTAATGAAAGAAGCTTCTAAATTAGCAAAGGGGCCATGCGGAATGTAAGCATTTCATTCCTTACAAATTGGATCATAAATTCAGAATTGTCTAAATATCAACTTTTTATAAAGGCATCTTAACATGCTCTGAACTTACAGCGCTACTTCTTACAACTTAATACAAATTATTTGAAGGGGTTTTGTTTGTTTGTCTCTGTGTTGCTACGGATCAAACCCAGGGCTTCACACATGGTAGGCGACGGCTCTAACTCTGAGCTACATCCTTAGCCCTAAAGCATTTTTAAGAACAATTAAATGAGGGCCAGGGATTTAGCTCAGTGGTGCCCCCGTCTGTCTTGCAAGTGCAATGGGCCTGAGTTCAATCCCTGAAACAAACAAACAAAAAAACCAAAAAACAAACAATTAAATGAATTGCTCTCTGGCTAAATATAAACATTTAGAGTACAAAGACAAATAGGACCTTCAGAAATTATTCCTCTTTATAGTAGGTATAATACTAGCTCTGATTTCCAGTCTACTAAAGAAGCAATACTCCTGGACACCTTTGAGACACCAAAAGAAAGGCCTGTAAAGTAACAAACTAGCAATACAAAAGAAGTAGTAAAAAGGTTTTGTCAAAAAACCTAGTAAAGAAGTAAACATAGTAAACATAGTAAAGAAGCCCTAAATGGTCAGCAGCTGAAGCAAGCAAAACCATGAGTTTTCACCTACTTTCTCTGAAGGTTTCTTGCTCTGTTCATTTGCTGGCTTAGATCTTGAACATTCATCTTCTACATGTGCTCTCTTTGGTTGGTTCTGCTTCAGTTTTTGTGCCCATGACGTTACAGATGTACTACTTAAGAAGAGATGTCCAAAATTATTATTATTTGTGTGGGGGGGGGGTACTGGGGATCGAACTTGGGTCCTTGCGCTTGCGAGGCAGGCCACCGAACCGCTGAGCTAAATCCCCAGGCCCAAAATTATTTTCTTAAATGCTGTCCTTCACACATACAGGTAACACAGGAGATACTGCTTTGGTAGGAAATGCTCCGAGTTTTCCCAAAGTGTGAGATGGTGGATTTTTATTAACCCACCTAACGATCTATTTTCAAAATCTTATTACCAAAGGCAGAGTAAACAAAAAGACTAACAGTGATCAACATGTATATAGTCTGGTTGAGCATGGTGGCCCATGCCTGCAATCCCAGCTAGCTGGGAGGCAGAGGCAGAAGGATCTCAAATTCTAGGCCACTCTACGCAACTTAGTAAGTCCCTATCACAAAAAACAAAAAATAAAATATAAAGGGCTAGGGATGTAGCTCATTTGTCTAGTATATGCATATCTCTGGATTTAATCCCAGATCACAAAAAACCCCCAAAATATCTAATACGTATAGTCTGTAGCGATGGAATAAAACAAAACCACCACCTAGATCCCCTTCAAGTACTACACAAATCTGTGCTGTGAAAATGTATTTATTGGAAGGAACTAAAATTATATGTAATTTACATGGCTACAGCTAAATACCTTACTTTACATGACACCTTTTAGAAATATAAAACTGAATATAGGGTGAAGTATAAGACTTTACAAGACTGTTTCACAAATATTCAACCACAGTTTTCTTTACAAAAAGTTAGAGTTGATTAAAATGTCATTAAATTTGAAAAAAAATGATTCATATAAAATAGAAGACTAAGAACACTTACTTGCCTGTAATTTTTGGTTTCAAATCACATAAACATATGTGACAAAATTTCACTCTTAATATAGTCCTAATTATACTCTAACTTTTACCAAGTGATTAGAAAATATAAAAGGCATTTTCCTGGCAAGATCTCCTACCTTAAGAATCTAACAGTTTCATAACTGCAAATGGTAAGAAAGTCAGGTGTCATTAGTACAGAACATGCTTTACTTCAATTTTCCACATACAACAAATAAAAGACTTTGATATTAATGATAAAAGTGATACCTGTTTAAATACACCTCATTCTATTATAGCTCAAAAGTTCGCTAAACTCTAATTGTAATACACAAGTAAAACTCCTTTCAAATGATGGTGAAAATACTTACCTATTTGCTTTTCCACTATATATTTCAGAAATCTTATTTTCACCATGAAAATTGTGTTCAAATTCACCAGGAAAAGTGTCAATATCTTCCTTTAAAGATGTACAAAACTCTTCAAGAGTCTGTGAGTAACGACTCCCATGGCCTATGCCATCTCCAGGCGAATCTGTCTGGACCCCAGGCCCTGCGTTCTGCCCCTCTGAGAGTCCTACAGGCTCCATGCGCACTGTGGGGTGTTTAGATCTGTAGGTGTTCAGCTCTGAGACACAGAAGGTGCCATAGCCACTGCTCACAGAGCTGCTGTCCACACTGCAGTCTGCCTGTGATGTGCCCCTGCTCTGCTGCAGCTCAGGTTCCTTAGACTCAGGATAACTAGGGAAAGATTCATTTCTTTCACTGTGTTCAGAAAAAAAACCCATTTGACTTTCTGAAGACACGTGTTTGCCGGCAGAACTTGTATCATAGGAAGTCCACAAAGAATTATTGATCTGTAATTTGATTAAATTTCTTATCTCCTCTCGTACACGCTGGAAACAAAAAGTGACAGAAAGAATGTTACATATCAAAATTTTATAAATGTCATGAAATTACCATTTCAAAATATGTTATTACTCTAAATAGGGTATCTTTAGTTCAAAAAGTGATAAATGAATTGGTTTTCTACAAATCTTTCAAATATTAAAAAATCAGTGTAAGTGACCACTTACTTGGATTTGGTTGTGGAACTGTTCCTGCTGGGCAACTATCTGTTCTTGGCATTGTTTTTCCACCAAATTGAACAACTGTAACCATCTGGCCTGTTAAATTATAAAATATCTTAATTTTTTTAAAAAAAACTTGCTATTTCATAGAAAAATTTCTCCAGTGAGAAACACTGCCCCCCTTTGGTTTTGTTTGTTTGTGACAGGGTCTCACTATGTAGTGAGACTGACCTGGGACTCACTATGTAGTCCAGGCTGGTCTCGAACTCACAGCAATCCTCCTGCCTCAGCCTACTGAGCATTGGGATTATAGGTGTGCACCACCACGCCCAGCTCCTCTGCACAGCTTTCAATGCAAACATCCTGAATGGGATTTCTACTCTGGCCTGGTAAATAATCCAGGGACTTTAAAATCCTAGGTCTGACTCTCAGCTCTCCACTGACCTTTACCTAGAAAAAAAAACAAATTTAATCTCTTTGCATCTCAGTTTCCTAATAACACCTCATAGGGGCCTGGCAAGATTTTATTTTATTTATTTTTTTGGTACCAGGGATCGAACTCGAGTCCTTGAGCTTGCAAAGTACGCAGTGGAACCACTGAGCTAAATCCCCGGCCCAAGATTTGACGTTAAATTTGACTGTACAGTGCAAGTAAAGTAGTGATTTCAATAAAGAAAAAACTACATTTTGGAAATTGTGAAGCACTGTCATCACAAAGGTGAGGGGGGCGTGCCTCCCCTTTTACAGCAGGCGGTTCCAGTAACACAAATCATAGTACCATGGCACAGTCTCCCACCGTGATGAACTATCCTGTGTCCACTGTAAATTATAAAAACAATAAATATTTTGCACAGTTTGCATTCTACCCAAAACAAACTTAGGTCTTACAGAATTTCATTAGAAGTTAGTATTTCAGAAAATTGGGTGTCACTCATGGAGGAGACATTCACAATATTGGATCAAGATATGGCTGGGGCTGGGAATGGTGGTGCACCTCTGTAATCCCAGCACTGAGGCTGAGGCAGGAAGATCACCATGGGTTTGAGGCCAGACAGGGGCTACATAGTGAGCTTAAGGCCAGTCTGACCTATGAAACTGACTCAAAAAAAAGAAGATACGGCTGGGGCTGGGGATGTAGCTCAGTGCTAGAGCACAGGTGTGAGGGCCTGGTTCAATGCCCAGCATTGCAAAAACAAACAAAACTACCATATCCGTATTGATCTCTTGCTTGCAGCTGCTATGTTCATAGTGAGCCTGCACACTGTACAGGTGAACACCAGACAACTTCCTATGACTTCTAATGAAGATGTGCCTCAGTATGCATATATTTTTTGGTGTCAGGAATTGAATCCATGCCTTGTGCATGTTAGGCAAGCACTCTACCACTGAGTTACACCCTAGCCCCCTATATTGCTTTTTTTGAAGTGGATACGATAGGTTATATTACCTATGGACTATACTCAAGGATAATATAAATTGTGCTTAATTTAAAAATTGTTATATGAGCCAGGGATTTAGCTCAGTGGTTCTGCCGCCTGCCTTGCAAGTGCAAGGACCCAAATTCAATCCTGGGTGCCAAAAAAAAAAAATGTTATAAAAAGAGTGCCTGGGTCTAATGCAATTGAGTGCTACTGACAATGTATCGAATATACTATCTGGCAAAGAGACAACATTTATTATTCTTACCCTATAACTATTACTACTGTATACATAATCAGTACTGCCAAATAGTTAAAACGCTACAATAACTAGCTATTAGTTAATGGTGTACTTTCTAAATCCCCAGCCCCAAAATTTTCTTTCTTTCTTTTTTTTTTTTTTTTGGTTTTCTGAGACAGGGTCTCACCATGTAGTTGAGACTGATCTGGAACTCACTATGTAGCCCACGCTAGTCTCAAACTCACAGTGATCCTCCTGCCTCAGCCTCCTGAGTGCTGGGATTACAGGCGTGAGCCAACATGCGTTGCTTACTTTTTTCTATATTCTGAAAAATAACAAAAATTCTGGTTCTAAAAGTACAACTAACATTTAAAACAAAACCTACTGTTAAGAATTAATAATATTATGAACTTCTATAAAGTATTACCAACTCTAGTTCATCTTGAAAAACAGGGAAAGTCCACTTTGGGCACTATTCCATAAAATAAAAATTTTAAGTATTCTTTTAACTGTTAATTTTTTCTAACAGTGCTAGGGGTTAAACCTAGGGCCCCCCACAAGCTAGGCAAGCGGTCTACACTGAGCTATACTCCCAGCTCCCCCATTACATTTATATATAATTTAACTTATGGATGGAAAAAAGAATCAATGACCTGAAAACAACAGAACACAATGTATCACAGCTAAAAGTGATAAGGTCCTAAACAGAAGCCTAAATTCAGAATTAAAACATTCAATATATTCAAAGTAGATTTAGGTTTTTCAAAATGGGGTCAATTCCATTTGAGGAACTTTTTCCCACTTGTTTAATATCATTCCCCAATTAATGTACTTGACTAGTTTTGCAATTAAGCATCATGCTCTTTTGGACATAAAGTTCTAATAACTTAGAGTTCAGTACAGGTTCATTTAAATATTATTTTAAAATCCCAAAAAAAAAAAGCGAGATACCTCACAGTTTTTCCAGCGTTCTGAATCAGGCTTCCCTCTGTTCTGTAGCTCTTGCATGAAAGAGGCTAGCACTTCCACTGTCCCTTGGATGGCAGGTGGTCCTGTCTTCCCTGAGAGAGAGGACACCCCATTTGTACTAAGGTGGGGACTACTTCTGTGGAAACATAAATCATTCACATGGTTTGTTCGATCTACCCGAGTGCTGAATCACTCAGCAGTTTGTGATTAGTACAGCAGCACAAAATCAATGACATTTAATTCTTCTAATTGGCACTTTATTTGTGAAAATCAGATGACAAGTTTGTCCAAAAGGAAAACAGTAAGATGACAGACAGTACTTTATTTTTTTAAGAGCATAAAGAAAGACCTTCTCCAGGAACACCAGAGCGCCGGCAGAAAGTAAGATGTGCTGATGTCTTCAGAAAGTTTCCAGCTTCTCAGCTCTACTCATCTAGGGGCCTGCTCCAGCCGACAGCGAGCACAGCCCTGCACCGTGTGCTGGCGATTCTGTCTCCACCCCCTGAGAAGACAACCCAGTCTTGTCACCCGGGTCCCCTCATTTGGTGTGATAAAGCCTGTGCTTATTCCTCCACTATCGCTGAATGAAAGCTGTGCCAAGCAAATTAACAGCAAATATTCAGGACTTCTTCAGCCTACTTAGGATGTAAAACATCAACCCTTTCCAGGAACGACTGCTCTTCCAGACTTGAGTACATCAGCACACAGAGCATGATTCAGGACACTAGAGTTGGTTTAAAACCCAATCACTCAAAGATTATATTCATCTATTTATTATTTTACCCAGTTTTTTTCACAAGGAATTTATAAAGAGGACAATAATGAAAACAACAGTAAATAAAGATCAGAGAGAAAATATTAAAATTCAAAGGAAAGAAGAACCCAGTAAGTGTCCAAAAGAGATTTACATAGTTGTAATAATGTAGTTTCAATCTGGTGAATTTACCTACCACTCATAATTTTCATGAGGAAAGCACATTTGGGTTCCTCCAGGCAAATCAAACACTGTATTTTTCAAGAAATTTCTTCTAGAAGTAGAGCTCAGAGCCCACTGTGACACCGGAAACAAAGCTTGTGGCCAATCCTCAGCTCACACCAATGGCCACAGCTGGCATCTCTTTTATGCCATTTCTTACTCTTCCAAGATTACCTTTCACTCTAATTTACGTTTTCCTATTTCATTTTATAGATTTTAAGTTCCTCAGGAAGGCAGAGAATAAACAATCGTTATAGTTATTTATAATTTTCTTCAAAAGACCTACATGTTTAAAGCTATTTGTCTCTTGCCACCAGGCTCGAGACCACTACCTTTTTGCTATGTTGCACGTACCTGCATTTTATAACTGATCACCTCTCTGACAGGCCTACCTCTTCGCTATTCTGAGCTACCATAAATTTATTTATTTATTTATTTATTTAGGTTCTGGGGATCAAACTTGGGACCTTGCGCTTGAAAGGCAGGCAGCAGAACCACTGAGCTAAATCCCCAGCCCTGTTACCACAAATTTAGAAACTAAATAACTAAGCTTGTCAGATTTCATGCAAATTGAGAGTAAATATGCTCTGATTAAAAACTAATTGGGGCCGGGGATTTAGCTCAGTGGTTCCAGGGCCTGCCTCGCAAGTGCAGAGTTCGATCCCCAGTACAAATAAATAAATAAATGGGCTGGAGGGTACCTCAGTGCTAGAATGCCTGCTTAGCATGCCCAAAGCCTTGGGTTTAATCCCCAACACCACACAACAAACAACAACACAGCTAAGGGATAGCCTAAAAAGAAAATGCAAGGGCTGGTAATATGACTGAATGGTAGAGCACCTGCCGGGCATGCAAAAGGCTCTGGATTCCATCCCTTATGCAAAAAATGAGACACATTGGACCTTTTGTCTGCTGTGGTTGCACACACTTCTAATCCCAGCTACTAGGGAAATTGAGGAGGGAGTATCCAAATTTCAAGGCTAGCTTAGGCAATTTAGTGAAACTGTTTCTAGAAAACAAACAAACAAACCTATAGCACTTGGAAGCTGAGACAGGAGAATCCCTGTGAGTTGGGCTACACAGCAGGACTCTGTCTCAAAACAGAACAAAACAACAAGGGAAGTAGGGAGGGAGCTCAGTAGTAGAGTCCTTGCCTAGCAGGCTTGAGCCCTGGGTTCAACCCCCAGTAATTAAAAATAAAAACAAAAACCCAAGCATTTTGCTATCATACTAACTCAGGGTCTGCACAGTCTGTTTTTACTATTCAACTTTAATTGGTGGGGCTAGGGATTTAGCTCAGTGGTTCCGCCATCTGCCTCACAAGCATGAGGTTCTGAGTTTGATCCCTGGAAGCAAAACCAAAAAACTTTTAATTGCTACTGTTCAGCTTGGTAAGGTGTTTCTGTAACATAAAACATTATTTGTACCAAAATGTAGAAATCATATTTAAGCAACTACAGCTTAAAGATATATTTGTAATTTGCCAGAAGGGAAAAAATATATAAAGGAAAATACAACTGGCAAAATAAGTACTATTTCATGACGTTCCCTTGCAAAAATACATCTCTCTAGCAGAAATGAAAAATGCAGGATGAAAAACTATTCTCAATATTCCCTGAACAGCTGCTGATCATAGCTGGGGGTTTTTGTTGTTGTTGTTGTTTATTTGTTTAACATACAAATCAGCAATCAGCAACGATACTATTTAGATAAATTGGTAAAGGACCAAGAAAGGTGATTTTGGTGTGTTACATTTAAAAGTATTTATCCCATTCTTACCTATTAGTATTTAAGCTCAGTCCATGAGAATGGGGAGAAATTTTGATATCAGATTCTACAGAAGATGAAGTTTTTGGTAAGATTTTCACCAAGTCAAAATCTTCCATAGTGTACAGAAACGGTTACAGTCTCTTATTTGAAAACAGTGGTTCTTTTACTGTTTGAGGAAACTGAATCCGAGTCATCTTCAGATGCTTCATCATCTACCATCATTTTCAGGTGCTAACATTCAAAACTGTAAAACTTCCTAACCTTCCAAGAGTCTGAAAATGAATGAGGAAAAAATAGTACTATAAAAAGCCACTAACTTAGCAACTGCCTTTTCAGACTGAAAACTTTCACTTCTTTCATATAAATGTACATTAAGGACAGCAATGGTTTTTTTTATGTTTTTGTTTTTGTCGTTTTATTTTTTGAGACAGGGTCTCACTGTTTAGTTCAGTCTGGCCTTGAACTCAATATGTAGCCCAGGCAGGCCCTGAACTCAGTCATCCTCCTGCACCAGCTTCACAAGTGCTGGAATTACAGGCCTGGCTCGCAATATTATTTATAATGGCCAAAATGTAGAAACCTTAATGTCCATCAACAGATAAATGGCAAATACTGTATGACATGTCCATGTAATGGATTATCTGGATTTAAGGAATAAAGTCGTGCTTTTAGTGGTGCAAGTGTAGTGCTGTACACCTGAAATCCCAGCACTCTGGGAGGCTGAGGCAGGAGGATCACAAGTTAGAGCCCAGATTTTACTTAGCAAGACCTTGTGTCAAAAAATAAAATGGAAGCTGGGGATTTAGCTCAGTGGTTCCACCGCCTGCCTCATAAGCACAAGGTCCTGAGTTCAATCTCCACTACAAAAAAAAAAAAAAAAAAAAAAAGGAATGAAACACTGATACCTGGATGAACGTGGATGAACACTGAAAACAACACGCTAAGTAAAAAGAATCTGCCACAAAAGAACACAGGATTCCAATCCCAGCACTTGGGAGACTGAGGAAGGCAATCATCTGAGATCAAGGCCAGCTTGAATTATATAGAATACAGTGGGCACAGGCTTTCTTTTTGGGGTAATGAAGAATTGTGGAACTAAGATAGCAGTAACGATGGTCCAACAGTCTTGTGAATGTATTAAACACCACTGGATCACACTCTGAAAAGGGCGAATTTTATGACATGTGAGTTATAAATCTCAAGGGTGATTTGCAAAAGTAGCCTCACCATTTTTAGGTAATATTTCAGATTTTTTTTTTTTTTTTGTAATGGGTATTGAACTCCAGTCCTTGTGCTTGCAAGGCAGGTGTCAGGCATTGGAACCACTGAGCTAAATCCCTGGCCCACACGCATCATTTCTTTAACAACTAAACTTTGTGAGGCCAATTAAAATCTTACTGAGGCTGAGTACAACAATGTCTCCTATTTAGAGAATCTGTGCATTAAAAAAAAAAAAAGATCAGCTGGATGTGGTGGTGCACACCTGTAATCCCAGCACTCAGGAGGCTGAGGCAGGAGGATCACTGTGAGTTCAAGACCAGCCTGGACTACACAGTGAGTTCCAGGTCAATCTCAACTACATAGTGAGACCCTGTCTCAAAAAACAAACAAACAAAAAAGATTGAGGAAGCAAGAGAAAAACAAGAAAAAAGAAAAACCTATGCTATTTAAAAACGAAAAGTTTCAAGAGTGTTTCTGAGGAAAACCACCTAATACTCTGGTTCCCTTAGATTCCCCACTTCCCAGCACCCGGTTTTAGAAAGCAGTGCTGAATAATAAAAACCATCAGCTCATCAAGAAAACACTTCCTGCAGGGACAGGTGTGAAAGCCCAGGGTAACTGGACCTAACTCAAGGGCCTACTCCCAGGTGGCTCAGCTCATCACCGTTGACAAATGAAACACTGAAAAAGCCAGGCGCTGCGTCCCTTTCCAGTGGGCAAGGAGCACCTGGCTTCCAATCACCTGACTCTAATACCAGGGACAGACAAGTTCTCCAGGGAGGCGGAGCTACCACCCCCTCTATTCTTTCTCCGCTGAGGTCACCGGATGCAGGAGCTGCAGATAGAAAACGTCTAGAAATTCAAGGATGCTTCCCCGGATGAGGGGGCAGGATGCGATGAAAAAAAAAAGAAAAGATTTTTTTAAAAACCCGGTAACGATGCTGAATTTTACGAAGAGGGACAAAGTTGATAGGAAATGAATAGCGGATCAGAGACATTTTTGTATTTCCCAAAATAGGACACCTCCACCCCCACCCCACAACCCTGAGCAAGAAAAGGGACGAGTCAAGGGGTTCGACCAGCAATGTGAAAGGCGCCCACTCTGTTGGGATGATTTCCAGGGTTGGCACCCGATCGGGACACATGAGTCGCCCTCATAGCCAGACCTCGGTCGCCGCGGAAGAGAGTGGGTCATAACCGGGAAGAGATAAAGAAGAAAGAGATTAAGAACCCCAAGCAGTCGCAGACTGCAGACAGCAAGGAAGACGGAGCAGCCACCGCTGCAACTACTACTATCGCGATTCCCAAAGGAAGTCCAGGCACCAGGTAAATAACAAACAAACAAACACCCACAACCCCCCCCCTAGAGAAAGGCGCTCTGCGATTGGGCCGCGTGGGTGTCATTCAAAGGCACCGAGTCTAGAAAGGGCGCAAGCAGCGCGACACGGCCCCCAACACGCTGCTAGCGGACTCGGGGGTTGCTGGTCGTTAGTCAGTGGTCTCCTCTCGGTCTAGCCCATCAACATACTCAGGGTTCCACTAAAACGGACTCTCCTAAGTCTCGTCCCCCGTCCCGCGGGTGGCAACTCCTCGCAAGAGGACTGCCACTTACCTGAGCGTTGCTTCCACAGCCGAAGTCAGGGTAGGGAGCGCGGCCTCTCGTGACCGTTAAAACTCGAAGGAGCGTGCGCGCGCCCGGCGTTTCATCCGCGATTGGCTGCTCAGAAGTGGGTGGAGACAGCCAAGGGCCGAGCGCTAGTCCACCAGCCAGTCCAACAAGCTCTGTAAAGGTCTGACGCCAGGGAGGCGTGAGAGGGGCGGGTCTTGTGTCTACCCCCTGATTGGTTCTTTGGGTACCTACCGCTACCACGCGGGAAAGAAACCTCAATTTCTCGCATGCGCAGTTACTGAGAATGACTCTCCAGCAAGGGAGGGAAGCCGGAGAGAGCGTGTGGCGCGTGCGCAGAGTCGGGAGCGCCCTTGTGCTCCGGGATCTGCAGTGGTTTGGGATTTTCTTTGAACTTTTCCAGGTGGAGGCCAGTTCTGAGAGCAGGTAAGCGTCTGCGCACAGCCCCACGGCTGCCCACGACTGTCCGGGGCTTTGGAAAGAGCCCTAGGAGACAGGATGCCTGAATTTTCCCCGGCTGGCGACCGTGAGTGCGCTGCCAGTTTATCTGAAGACCCATTGGTGGGAGGCGGAGCCAGCCCTGAACCCCTGAGTTAAGTTTTTGTAGGACTCGGTTTACCCTAAGTAGCTAGGACTCTTCAAACACTCTGGGTGGCGGAAAGGAGGAGAGATCAGTGCCCTGAAGAAAATAATTCCACTGAGCCCAAGTAGAGTCGGATGTGGCGTCGGAGGCGTGGCACGTGATCGTGCCACAGAACCACCTTCCTTCCCGCGGGCCACAGCCCGGCCCCCCGCACTGTCCTGCAGCCTCGTTAGCCTTTCGGGTTCTTCTGCACTTAGCTTTGCCCCGGGTTGTGGCCCAAGCAGTTGCTCGCTGGCATTGTCCCTTAAGCGTGCCCAAGATGGCACCGAGAAGCCAGGATGCGGGAGACGTATTTGTCCTTGGAGTGCAAATGTGCCAGAAATCATTCCATCTCATTTGCGCCTTCTCAGAATACTTATTATTTTAGTAAAAGTTCGTCTCCATCCAAAACCCCACCAGTGTGTGTGTGAGATCTTAAACTTACATAAATTGAAGCCCTCCCCCATTATGTTAACCCGCCAGGCCATCTCTTAGGCTCACATCACGATGCAAACACACGATTCATCAGCGCACCTGCTCTGTTTTCAAGGACCGTATTTTAAGGCCACAAAAGGAGAAAGACAAGCAGATGCAGTTTTAATCATTTAATTTCAGTTGGCCACAAAATGCAGAGACACATGATGTGACATTACAGAAGAATGAGAAGTGTGAATTCCTGAGAAAGCTCCAGGCTGTGTTTCTCTACAGGAAAAATATTAACCCCAAATGCAAGTAGTGATGATGAATTATTAACCATGCAGTAGACAGTTGATTGCTTTTGGCTATGAGCTCTGATGGGATTGGTTATTTTGGGAGTGGATGCTTTTGATTGTTGTTTTTAGCAGTATGACTTTAGGTAATTTTTTTTACCAGTATGGAGATTGAACCCAGCACCTTCAAACTGAGCTATATCCCTAGCCCTTTATTTGTATGTATGTATGTATGTATTTATTTTGGTACCGGGAATCAAACTCAGGTCCTTGCTCTTGCAAGGCAGTCGGTGGAACCACTGAGCTAAATCCCTGGCCCCCTAGCCATTTATTTTTTGCTTTGTTTTGGTTTTGGTTTTGGTTTTTGAGACAGGGTCTCACTATGTAGTTGAGACTGAACTGGAACTCACTATGTAGCCCAGGCTGGTCTCAACTCACAGCAATCCTCCTGCCTCAGCCTCCCGAGTGCCAGGATTACAGGCGTGCACCACCACGCCCAGCCACTAGCCATTTATTTTTAAAGACAGTATCACAAGAATTGCCCAGGTTGGGTTTTAACTTATAATCCTCTTGCCTCAGCCTCTCACAGAGCTGGAATTACGGGCATGTGCCCCCACATCTGGCTTCATAATTTTTTTTTACATACTTTCTTTATAATCTGCTAGTTTTTTTTGTTTTGGTTTGGTTTTTGGGTTTTTTTTGCTTATTTTTTGTTGTTATTTTAAGACAGGATCTCACTATGTTGTCCAAGCTGTCCTCAAATCCATAGTGATCCTTTTCAGAAGTTGGGCTGACAATGGTTCGAGGCATATAGTATCTGTTAAATAGGATGTCACTTTGTATCATTAAAATTTTTTTTCTTGAACCCTGGGCCTTGAATATACTGGGCATGTGATCTACCACTGAGTTACACTCCCAGCCCTTATTTCTTACTAAGTTGCCAGGCTCACCTTGCACTTGCAGTCTTCTTGCCTCAGTTTCCCAAACAGCTAGAATTACAGTTTGTGCCACCATATCTGGCTGTCACTGAATTTTTTTTTAACCATTTTATCATTTGGGGGAGGGGATTTTTCACAGAAAATAAGAGAAACAATAAAACTTTACAGTAAACTAGTAAACATAGAAATGATCAGATTTATATATATATTGCTGGAATTGAACCCAGGGCCTTGTGAGTATTAAGCAGTTGTTCTACCACTGGGCTATATGCCCACCCATACGTTTAAATTTTTTGTGTTTTTGAAACAAGGTCTCACTGTGTAGCACAGGCTGGCCTCAAACTTGTGATCAGCCTCCTGAGTGCTGAGATTACAGGCATGCACCACCATGCTTGGCTAACATTTAAATTTTTTTTTATCTTTCCTGTCTTGTGTGTGTGTGTGTGTGGTACCAGGGATCGAACTCAGGACCCTGCACTTGTGAGGCAGTCACCGTGCCACTGAGTTAAATCCCTAGCCCTATCTTTCCTGTCTTTCATTATTTTCTTGTACTATACAGTATTCCATAATCCCTAAAGACATTTTTGTTTGAACTAGGACTGACTTCGTGGTGGGTGGTTTTATCTTTCACTGTGAGCCTGCTGGGAAATCAGGCTGTATTTTTGGCATCATAATGAGGTCCTTGGCACCTGATTTCATAGACCAGAATTATGACCTCACCAAATAGCATGTCTTTGGCAGTTAGATGGTTTCTAAGTACTTCTTAAAGTGGATCATACCAAGTAAAATAATCTGTCAGTCATTCTTCTAGATATATTTTCACTCAGAGCTCTAAAAACCCCAAGAGGCCAGGGATGTAGCTCAGTGGCACCGTGCCTACTTTGTAAGTGCAAGGTCCTGAGTTTGATCCTCAGTACTGGAAAAATAAAAAATAAAAGCCCCATGAAATAGGCCATGCATGGTGGCATATGCCTGTCATCCCAGCACTGGGGAGGCTGAGGCAGGAGGATCACCACAAGTTCTCCACCAGCCTGGACTATAGTGAGTTCAAGGCCAGCCAGAACTGCATAGCGAGACCCTGTCACAAAAAAAGAAAACCTGATGAACCTGATGTATGTTCTGGAGGCTGAGGCAGGAGGGTCATGAGTTCAAGGCTAGCCTGGGCAACTTAGCAAGATCTGTTTCAAACACATTGTTTTGAAAATATGGTCTTGCAAAGTAAGTCTTCCTGATAGAATCTACACAGTGGGTTACTCATATTAAATATAATAACATTTTTAAACAAATAGTAAGCCATTTATTTTTAAAAATTACTTTAAAAGTTGTTTATACATGTGGAATTACATAACTTGGTGACAACATTCAAAAATGTATAGGCTATTTCATATTATTGCACTTACTCTAATATATAAGGCATTTTATTTTTACATAAATAAAGGATAACATATAATATCATTCAACAGGTGTGGTGCCAATTAATACAATTCAGTGAGATGTGTGTGGGAGGATGGAAAGGAAACCCAGGCTCTTCAGCCTTCATGGTATAATAACATATTTTAAAGTGAATTAGAAATGTTTAAATTGGAAATACACAAGCCAGGGATTTAGCTTAGCAGCACAGCACCTGTCTGGCAAGTGCAAGGTTCTGAGTTTGATCCCTAATACCAAAAAAAAGAAAGAAAGAAAGAAAAGTTGTAAATATACAAACCATCATTAATGGCAATGAAGACTTTGAAAAGAAAATGTAGTGCTATGAATAGTGCTTTTTTATTTTCCCCTTGGTACCGGGAATCAAACTCAAGTCCTTGCACTTGCCAAGGCTTGCACAGCACCACTGAGCTACATCTCCGGCCCCAGTGTGTTTCTGTTTTAAGAGTGCAGTTGATAAATTATAAGGTTCCCGTGAGATGCCGTAAATAGAAGAAAATCACAGTGGCGCACACAAATAACCAGGGTAACTGTGAATGCAGATCGTGGGTGAGAGGTGCTTTGCCTTCCTGTGAAGCCAGAAGTCCAGGAACGCTCATGGCCTCAACCTTACTGCCCCATGGCGCCTTGTGTGGGCATCACAAAACTGGAGAGAGCTCCATTCGTCTCCCTTGTGTTTTGGCGGGAGGCTGGGGCTGGGGCTCAGTGCAAGGGCCTGGCCTAGCACGCACAGGCCCCAGGTTCCATCCCCTGCACTGAGATGCATACCAGCACAGTGCTTGTCATACTTCGCCGAGCCTCGAAATCTCCTTGGGATCTTGTTGAGATGTGGCCATCATCCTGGCTGGGGCAAGGCCTGAGCGGCTTCGTGCCCAACACCCTACCCGAAACCACACGTTGAGTAGCAAGGCCCAGAGCTCCCAACTGCGGTGCCCCGGCCACCAGACCTGACTGGTGACCATGGAAGCGAGGTGGGTCCAAACAGATGTGCCCTGAGTACGAACTGAAAAAAGAATGTGATACCTGTTTTAACATGATTTATATGTTGAAATAATATTTGGGCGGGGAATTTAGCTCAGTGCTTCTGCCACCTGCCTCGAAAGCACAAGGACTGGAGTTCGATCCCTGGTACCA